CATCATTTTCTTTTCTTAGTTTTGAAGAAAAAAAAATAAGGTTTTGAACTCGAAGAGTTTTTCCTTTGTTGACAATCACCAACACCTGGTCATTATTGGAAAAATATAAATGGACTTGAATTAATACCATAAGATTGAGATGACATGAATATCTAAATTTTTGACAAGATTAATCAAATAGGTAGTTATAAATTTCCTCCTCCAAATAGTTATTGGGTAGATCTATTCCAAAAACCAATTAACCATTGATAGGAAAATCCATATTATATTTAAAAATTTTACGGATTGATGGGAGATTCTCTCAACACGCCAATCTTTCATCCCTTAATTTCTTTGGGTAAGAAACATCTGTTCTAACTTCCGATGGAACTAAGAGATGCACCTTTATCTCTGTCTTGGGTGTTGACATCAGGTGGCATGATATTATTCGTTTTTATTTTCAAGATAGTGACAAGGAATTATTTACTTCAATACATTTGACAAATTTTTTGCCTTTTAATTAGATCAGAAAATCAGAACTCAAAATTATATGTAAATTCTCAAAATTATTTATCTTCCATTTTGTTGTTGTTTGGTATTGCAATTTGAATTAATAATAATAATTATCAATTGTTAGATTAGACCAAATTATTAACATTTTTTTAAACAACCCCTTCACTTTATACAGATTCTCTTGAATTGAAATTCATAATGAATTATGACATATGTTTTGTCATGGGACTAGCAAAAATATCATTCTGAACAACCCATCTTTAAGATCTGTTATGGTCACTAACTTGTTTCTCTGTTTTGTTGTTTCCTTTTGGTTTTGGGTGCTCAAAATGATGAACAAATGGACAACAGATCCCAATGGTAAGTCCATATTCTTCCTTGGTTGAACTCCAGAAATTTTGTCTCTAAGTTGTCCAAAGTGATATGATGTCCAAATTTCCCTGAAATTTTCTTGTAATCAGGTCCAATGCACTATAATGGACTCTATCACTTGTTCTACCAATACAACCCAAAAGGGGCAGTCTGGGGCAACATCGTCTGGGCTCATTCCGTCTCAACGGACCTCATCAATTGGCAGGCCCTCGAGCCTGCAATCTACCCAACGGAACCCTTTGACATCAACGGCTGCTGGTCCGGCTCCGCCACGATTCTCCCTGGCAACAAGCCGGTAATTTTATACACCGGAATCGACCCCCAGAACAGGCAGGTTCAGAACTACGCAATCCCAGCAAATCTGTCCGACCCTCTTCTACGTAAATGGGTCAAGCCAGCTGACAACCCCATTGCGGTGCCAGAGGCCGAAATGAACGCCTCCGCTTTCCGGGATCCCACCACTGCCTGGTTCAGCAACGGCCACTGGAAAATATTGGTGGGAAGCAAGAGAAAGCATAGAGGGATGGCGTTTTTGTACAGAAGCCTAGATTTTGTGCATTGGATTAAGGCCAAACATCCCCTTCATTCAGCTGCCAATACGGGTATGTGGGAATGCCCGGATTTTTACCCTGTTCCGGTGTCGGGAAAACAAGGGTTGGATACTTCTGTTCTTGGGGAGAATGTGAAGCATGTGTTGAAGGTGAGCTTGGATCTTACTAGATATGAGTATTATACAATAGGGAAGTATTCCCCGGATCAAGATAGATACGTGCCTGATAATACCTCCGCTGATGGGTGGGCGGGCCTTAGATATGACTATGGAAATTTTTATGCATCAAAGACATTTTTCGATCCTGTTAAGAACAGGAGGATTTTGTGGGGTTGGGCTAATGAGTCTGATACTGCTGATGATGATGTTCAGAAAGGATGGGCTGGAATTCAGGTACTGTTCTTTCTTCAAGTTGATTGAAGATGAAGATGCATTCATGTTTTTGGGGTTTAACTTCACTATTGATTTGGTTCTCCGTGGCATTTTATCAGTTAATTCCCAGAACAGTGTGGCTTGATACTAAAGGAAAGCAATTGCTTCAATGGCCCATTGAGGAGTTGGACTCTCTTAGAGGGAAGAATGTTCAAATGTCCAATCAACAACTCAAGCTAGGAGATCGTGTTGAGGTCAATGGAATTGATGCTTCCCAGGTTTGCACCTTCTTTGTTTTGAAACCTTTAGAAATTATTTGTTTACTCAAGTTATGCTTAATAGCTGATGATGGCAATGTATGTTCTCATATTGTGTTTGTGTCAATACCAATGGTATTTCTGGTTAGATAAGAAATATATACGAATAAAGGATGATTAATCGTTTGTATCAAACTCATGACTATTTCTGCCCCGCTCTGTTTTGTTTAGCTAATCTTAGAAGCATGTTTTCTTATGTCGAGCTTTTAGTTCCTAGTAAAATATAGCTTGTCAGAACCACTTAATCATGTTCTATCATTCATATGTTGGATTGAAAACCTTATGAAGAAAAAGGACTCTCAGATTCAAACTTTTAGATGATTATGTGGAAGTAGCTGTTATGATCATCTAGAGAATTGATTTTCTTTACTAAAATTACATCTTCCTGTTTTTATGGTCCTTGCAGGCTGATGTTGAAGTAACTTTCTCTTTCTCTTCCTTGGACAAAGCTGAGCAATTTGACCCTAGCTGGGTTGACGCACAACAGCTTTGTGGCCAAAAGGGTTCAACCGTGCAAGGCGGGTTGGGTCCGTTTGGGCTCCTGACCTTGGCTTCAGCAAACCTTGAAGAATTCACTCCTGTGTTCTTCAGGGTATTCAAAGGACAAAACAAATACGTTGTTCTCATGTGTTCGGATGCAAGCCATTCCTCTTTGAAGGACAGCACGTACAAACCATCATTCGCTGGTTTCGTAGACGTAGACATAGCAAATGATAAGAAGCTCTCTCTTAGAAGTTTAATTGATAATTCAGTGGTGGAAAGCTTTGGAGCCGGGGGGAAGACATGCATTACATCCAGGGTTTATCCTACGCTAGCTGCCATGGGTGACACTCACCTTTATGCATTCAACAATGGGTCCGAGCCAATCGTTATGGAGAGTCTTAATGCCTGGAGCATGAACAAACCTCTTAAGATGAATAACTGAAAGTTTATTGTGGAGGAGCAAATTTGTTGAGTTACTCAAACTTAAATTTGAACTAAATTAAATTTTTGTTGAGCCTAATATTTATTTCGAACTAAATTATATAAAGTGTACTTATTGAGTTTTAATTGAGTTATTCAAATTTAAATTTGACCAAAACTAATTTTTTGTTTAGCTTAATTTGTATTTTGAGTTGAATTATAGAGGGGTGAATTTATTGAATTACTCAAACTAAATTTAAATTAAATTAAATTTCAATCAGGTTTAATTTGTATATCAAGTTGAATTCAAGTTAATTGTTAATATTGAATATTTAAATGTAATAAATTATCATGGAACAAATATTTAAAATTTTATTATATTTAAAAATACAAGGGTTAATTCTAACCCATTTTTTGATTTCATCATATTCAAGCACATTATTTTCCCAGAATAAACTTTACCCTCCTACTTCCTCCCTTCCTCTTTCAATATATTTGCTACTCTCCATGTTGCAGACATTCTTTAACCCACCACGCCTCCATTCCCATCTTTCTTGCCCTTGCTTAATAAGCTAAGCCGCAGATAGTATTTCCCTTCTGCCTCTAACTCTGCTTCCCATGCCATTGGCTCAGGTCTCAACTATAGGTTCCAACACCAACTGGCAATTGCCTTCCATCCAAGTTCCTATTAGCCAACACATGTGCGCATAACAGGGATTCATTTATATAAATTTTATATATTATATTTATATAAAATTATAATATATAAAATTATGATTATTTATTTATTTTTATTTATTAAGATTGATATAAATTTTATATATTA